CATCAGTAATGGAGGGTCTGAATGCCAAAATCAAGAATATGCATTTGATCCTTTAAGCCATAAGAAGCAAATAGTGTGAAAGGTATAAAAAAGTAAGTGATATAATAGAAACAGTCCTTAAGAAAGATTAATCTGGCAGCATTAATGGAATGAACTCAAAGGACAGTTGGAGAGAATGGAGACAGGGACACAAGGACACCATACAGTAATACAGGAACAAAATGAGGTGACAGTGAAAACAGCAAAGAATAATATTTCAGAGAAAAAAGGGAAAAACTTGGTGACTAAATGGAAAAGTCAAAATACAGGAAAACTGCTAGAACATTCTACATATCCGGATTTTAGGGTATACCTTTTTGAGTATCAAAACAAATGTTTAACAAGCTTTGGATAAAAAGCACTGTAAAATATATTACAAATTTGTATAAAATTGTGCTTTAACTAAGAAGCAGTCTAGAAAGGTTGGGCTCATTGATATTTATATCACTCACTACAGCAGAATAATTTGGAATAGTGGAATAAACACAATATTGTGACCAGCCTGGGTAGCATGGCAAGACCTCATCTCTACAACAAGAACAAAAATTAGCCAGGAGTGGGGGCATGTACCTATAGTCTAGCTACTTGGAAGGCTGCAGTTGGAGGATCACCTGAGCCCAGCAGGTTGAGGCTGTAGTAACCATGACTGGGTGACAGAGTGAGACTCTGACTCAAAACAATAAAAATAAATAAATAAATAAGAAAGAAAAAAGCACAATACTTGGTGTCAAAAGATTTCACTCTTAGCTCTGCAATGGGGCTGTTTCATTACCTCTCTAGACCTGAATCTTCATCTGTAAAATGAGAATAAGAGTACCCTAGTCACCACTCAGCAGGCACAAATGGTACAAGTGTCCCCAATCATAGAGATGCAAAGATAAAGCAGAGCACAGATCCCTTTCACTCTTCCATTGGGCCTCTAAGCAGCCCAAGCACTTGCAAACCTAAAGAAAACCATCAAAACCCCAACAAACAAAGGCAAAGAAATGAGAAACAGAGGGACTGGGCAACCCATCCCTCATCCATATTAATAACGGTAAAAATGAGAATTGTCATTTCAGCTGGTGCCCACTAAACATACGGCACGGCTGGGTTCTTTACACACATAAAGAGTCTATCAAATTTCAATAGGTCTGCAAGAAGGCATTATTAGTTATTCATATACTATAGATGAAAAAAGAGACTCAGAAAATGTTCCCAAGGGGTCAGACAAGCTAGTCAGTGCTGAAACTGGATTCTGGTTCTAAAGCCCACCATGCTTTCTTCATTGCCACTACCCTGGCTACGCCAGTTAAAAGTAAAGTCAGCAATCATTAGATCTTAGTACTTTCCTTCTGTGAGCTTTTGATACCACTGTTGATCAGAGTCAAATGTTCTAGATATACAATTAGCTCATCAAATATTAATCAACTTTTCTAATGGCTATATCTTCTGTGTCTTATACTATTACATGCCAACATGTCTCAGAATTGTCATTGGACATATTTCTCGTTAAGTTTCAGATTTATCTTTGCTTTCACACTCACTCAGACAGGCAAAAATCTACTATGTTCATCAGACTGCTTGGCTGTGTAAATGACATATTCATTTACATGGTTAAGTTCTCGGGAAACAAGCTTTCTTTGTTTAAAGAATGAAAATTACCAGTTGTTATATTTTAATAATAAATTCCCAATTTTCTTTAAGAATAAATCCTTCAAAAGTCTGATCCTAATGCAAACATGTAAAATATCTTTTCCTTTTTACTAAGGCAATGGTCTGTATTTGTACAGTTGATTAATAAATCAAGTTATTAGAACTTTTAAAACAAAGAAATCCATAAATGTGGTATAACCTATCTTTAAAATGCCAAAAACCAGAATTCATGGATATAGCTTCCTACACTGAAACAGACTTTAAAATGATCTGAAATTATCTGATTTCATGTACATGAAAGAATCTGAATCATTCATGTATGATAGGTAAATGTATTCGTAGTTAAAATTATATTGTTTTAAATTATAACCTCATTTTATGTTTCTAAGTTTTATAGCGTTTTATGTACTGTAAAATCATCTATATTAACCTTTGACAGGTTTATTCTGGTAAAAGAGATTTGTACCTGAGCAATCTACTTGGAATAAAAATCATTGATGTCATTTTTAAAAATCATGTCTTAGCTGGGCTCGGTGGCTCAGCCTGTAATCCCGCGCCTTTGGGAGGCTGAAGTGAGTGGATTGCCTGGGCAGCGAGACTTCATCACTAAAATAAATCCAAAAAAAAAAAAACCAGCCAGGCGTGGTAACACATGCCTGTAATTCCAGCTACTTGGAAGGCTGAGGCAGAAGGATTGCCAGAGCCCAGCAGGTCGAGGCTGCGGTGGCCGGGAGCGGCCACTGCACTCCAGTCTGGGCGACAGAGTGAGAGTCCAACTCAAAAAAAATAAAAAGTAATTAAAAAAAAATAAATAAAAATCATGTCTTCCTTTCTCTCTCATTTGACAAAAAGTTCTTTTGGTGATTACAAAAATCTTAAACCAATTATATTACCCAATCATTTAATTTTTTATAACGGTCAAAACCATTTACTCCAATCTTCATTCATAATAAAGAAATATATGCTCAAGCCAAGTTTCTTTTTACCATATGTAAAATCAGTCTACGCCGCACGTTGAAGTATCTGACTCTATTTTATGCCTTTTCTTTTCCTTTTTAAGCTTATGAGATAGCTCATGAGTCAGCATACTCTTTCTGGAAAGGATCAAATAGTAAATATTTCAGGCTAGGAGAGCCACAGGGTCTTTGCTGCAATGGCACTGCGGCTGGTCCATAAATGCAGACACAAACACATAAAGGAAAGGGTGTGGCTGAACTGAGTCAGCCCCTGCTGGATTTGGCCCATGGTGGTACTGTGCTGACCCCTCGGCTAACATGGGGAAAACATGAAAAACAGTATCACTACAGTCACCCGGGGTATCTTAATGTTTAGCCTGACAGAAGAAACCATTCATAGACATGCTAAGTTTAGAGTGCTTCAGCACTGACTGAACTAACCTTGACCCACAGAGTGCTAAATATAATAGTGCAATGAAATTAGATTCTACTTTTCGAAGTAGCCACAGAATTTTTTAAATCATTTTACCAAACAAGGACCCACTCTAACTGTGGCCAGGTTTTCTAAATTGTCCACTATCAATCTCTCTCACCTTCTTTCCCCAACTCATCCCAATTCTACTGGATGCTAGACACACCTTTTGTCCCAAGAAGGTCAAGGTTTCACCACTTGCTCTCTATAGAAAAAGTAAATTCTCTCTCTTCTACGTCTGCTACCAGAGTTGAAGGCTGACTTCATTCCCAAGCCTCCTCTCCCTTGCTGCCTCTCACTATACAAGCTGGACAAACTAAATGATATCTCAGCCTCCTTTGCAGCTTAGCATGGCCATATAATAAAGTTCAGGACCATAAATATCACATAAAGGAATACTGGGTGGGGATCAGGGGGTGCTTTCCAGAGTTTTTATGTTCTAAAAAGGAGAAAGTCACAAGTGCCAGGACCTTTTCCCCCTCTTCTGCCTGTCTTAATGCAAATGTAATGCCTGGAACTGGAGCAATCATTAGAAAAAAAATAGAATTGTAGAGTTGCCAGCACTGCAAACTTCAAGCCACTGAATCAATGCCAGAGGTCATCATCTCCAGAGTTCTTGTTATATGAGAAATGATAGGTCTTGTAAATTGAATTTTTGTTGCAAATAAAAGCATTCCTAATCTACCATTTTTTGGAAGTGCTAGAGTCCTGAGTCACTACTCCTCCTGAGAAGTAAGTGAAAGAATAAAACTGCTGAGCACTTTGTTGTGAACTCTGACTAAACAGCACTCCTTTAAACCTAGACAGAAAAGTAGCAGGAAGAAAAACACAAAAGACTGTCTAGCCTGAGGGTTAACATCTGAGGGCAACGAAGTCAAAGTGGGCAAAGAAAAGAGAAGGCCAGAGATAATTATCCAAAAAAGTACTTCTTTAGGAGTGTGGAGTCAAATAAGCCTGCTTAATGTTCTCCTGAGCAAGTCAAATATGAGAATGCTGAGAATATTAATTTCCTATCATGAATGTCCACTGATTGGAAAATAAAAGTTCAGGACTCTTTTTAATAGTTATAGTCTTGTGTTTTTCAAACTAATTAATTTATCTTTATGCTCCCATTTCTCTGGTATTCAGGCTTAGTTACAGTCAATGTATGACCATCTTTGAAATAATTATTGATAATCAAGTTAATTATAATACTGCCAATAAGGACAATGGTTCTTTCAGGCATTCTCATACATCTATTCAGGATAGATGGCGGATCCATCACTGTAACTCAGGGACAGTCACTTCTCTTCTACATCAATGCCACTGCTTTCAGAAATATGCTTATTTTAACTCACATATCCCTAAAATATGTTTTTACTTTACTTTCTTACAAACAATGCTACACACACACACACACACACACACACACACACACACACACCCTTCTAGTCCTAAACTCAATAGTTTTCTGCTCCATGAGAATTGTTTGATGGTTTTACACTGCAGTGTAAACACATATCAATTATAAAACCTATATATTACAAAGGATTTTTTAAAAACTGTTATGATTTCAGAATAGAATTCCTTAGGACTGCCAAAGCTTTACAGTAGTGGGACAGAATTTGATAAAGTTCCAACACTACATTTTAATGCCCAATTTCTTATTGTCTTTTTTGGTTGACAGATATGTGCTTTGCAGCATTACAGCAGCAGCACAACAGCTGGGTGGCCTTATCAAGCACAAAGGAAGCAACAGCACATGCTGTTAAGTGTCTTCTGATTGCCTGGAAATGGCAGCAAATGCAGATTTACTCCCTGTTATAAATTAGAACAATTATTTCTCTGGAGTTTACATTTTCTTCATGAAATAGTCAAACATGATGCACGTTAAAAAAGAGGACTTTCAAAAAGGATATCTTCCCTTTCTTTGATGATTAGTTCATTCTGTTCTTCCAACTGCCTGATCTTCTTTTCAAATGATTCCTGCTCAGCTTTCAGTCGCTCTTCTGTCACTTCCTTTTCCTCACTTACTCTGAAAGAAATACAAATATGAAAAAAAAAGCCTATCAGAATAAAATTAAATATGTACCTACAGCTCCAGTTTACCAAAACTAGATTTTTTTTTTCAAAGATATGCTGAATTCTTCAGGGACACTCTGTTTTGCTTTATTGGTTTCTTTCTTTTTTTTTTGAGTCTGAGTCTCACTCTGTCACCCAGGCTGCAGTGGCAGGATCATAGCTCACCATAGCCTTGACCACCTGGGCTCAGGCAATCCTTCCATCTCAGCCTCCTGAGTAGCTAGCACTACAGGCACATGCTACCATGCCCAGTTAATTTTTTAATTATTTTGTAGTGACAAGGACTCGCTGTGTTTCCTAGACTGGTCTTGAATTCCTGGCTCAAGCAATCCTCCCACCTCAGTCTCCCAAAGTGCTGAGATTACAAGCATGAGCCACTGTGCCTGGCCTGAAGTTGTTTTTTAATTTTATATCTTATAAGGCAGTCTTCCTCAGCTTTGTAATAAAATATCCATGTAATTTTTACATTAAGAGTATTTCCAATCATCAGAAATACCTTCAATACAGAAAGTCCTATGCAGAATACAAGTGCCAAATTATAATCTAGGACAGAAAAATATTCCAATTTTTAAAACAAGGTTTCACTTTTTCATTATCAAACTGGCACAACCAATTGACTTTTATTTAGACCTTTTCTATACTTTTGTTTAAATCCTACCAATGAAATGAACAACATATATTTTAAAATATTTTACTAAATATACATAGGCAACTTTACTTTTTTTCTGGGTACTGATGCTCTGCATTCCTTAGTAGAATATAAATAAATGGACCAAAATAAAAAGATGTATTAACATAAAGGAAGGTCTGTGCTACATTTATTTTTAGTCCAAAAAAGAATAACAAAGATAAAACATTGAGCACAAAAATCTGTATATTAATGTTTAACTCTGAAAAGCATTCCAACTTAACCAAACCAAAGTGATGGTATCTGACAAAAGAACAGAGGAAGAATAAAACCTTAAAAAAAAAAAAAAAAGTCCTGAACACCATCACCAACACTAAAATTCACTGAAGTATATATTAGGACAACTCTAATTTTCATGCTATTCTGTGTGCAGAGACATTAACCCTGAATTTTTCTGTTACTGGTAACAGAGAATTTCTATTCCTCCAAAGAAGATGCAACACCTTTATCCCACAAGATCACAGGGACGATGTAAGTGAAATCCACAGGGAATCTAAATCTTTTGTTTGAGCTACTGAACTTACTTTCCTCAGATCCCTACTCTACCAGAGCAACTTCTGTATAACATGAATTCCATGGTGCCTGCCCTCTGGTAGAGATATTGAAATTAATAAGATAACAACGGAAATCAGAATCTTAAATGTTCAAGAGTTGATTGTAATTTTTCTTTGAAATAATTTCTGTGAAAGCACAGAGCACACAGTAGTAGTCAGTGAATAGGTTTAGTTTTTCTGGCTTATTATGGCATCGTAGTCATTTCTCCAACCTATATTTTTATGTTTAGCTTACCACTAGGTGCATGAATGGGACCCAGGCTCTTCTTTCAAAGAGGGTAATCTCAAAGACTAATACATTTACAAAGAATCCAGACAACTAAACACATATGCACCTCTGAAGAGGGTTTATACTCTCTTATAAGGTTATCCTGCCTCCCTGTTCCTACTGCTCTATAATGCCTTTCCTTTTCCTGCCATTGCTCTCAAGCACACTTGAACTAACAACTTTCAAAGTAGCTTTGACAAAGTCTGCTTATATCCCTGGGCATCATTACTCTCACTCAGAAAGGAAAGACTAGACAACTCTAAAAAGCCTTTCTGACTGAAGTTTTAGAATTTCCTTCATTATATTATAAATATCTTGACTACATGTATGCCCTTTATAAATATGCAGAGCATTTGTAAAGAAGTAAGAAAGAAGTTATCAAACCTTTGGGCAGGGAACAAGGCTTATAATACTATAATTTAGGCAAAATCTGTGCCCATAGGATGACAGAGGAAGAAGCAGATAAGGGAAGCATAAAGATGTGAAATTTGGCATGAGACTACATAAATGCAAAAGAAAGAAAGAATGAATCTGTAGGATTTTTCATAAAACAAAGATGAAGTAATAAGTGCTGCTATACACAGGTCAAGTAGCCCTTATCTGAAGTGCTTGGGACCAGAAGTGTTTCAGATTTCCAATAGAGCAGAGAATAAAACACACACACACACACACACACAGTGAGTACTGTATGCATTCTTGGCCCCTGAGGGCATCATAAGAAGCCTGCCCTGTGCACATGACATTTTATTACTTCCCCTTGTGGGTGTTCTGGTGTGGTGAATCTGGGCGTGCTGGAGAACGCTGTATCATGGCTGCAGGTGGGTGGAGGGGCTTTATTCCTTGGGGACACAAGCTGAGTAAACTTTGTTGTACCCCTGCATTTGGACTGTAATCTCTGTCACATGGGGTCAGGTGTGAAATTTTCTGCTTTTGGCATCATGCTGGTATTCAAAAAATCTCGAATTCTGAAACACTTTGGATTTTTGGATTAGAAATACTAAATCTGTATTGAGAGGAGAGAATAAACATTGTCAAGGTGAAAAAATATGTAGCAAAATCTCTCCCTGTTTAGACTGGTAAATTCTTGAAGCCATAACTGAAGAGGAAAATCCATAAGTAGATAAGAGAACATTTATTTTCACTTATGTATTTTAAAATATTTTAGGAAAATATCATCACGATATTCAGTGCAGGGTATCCAAAAGGGATCTAATAAATGGTTTTCTGTGGTTTCAGTCCCATTCACAAAGGCCACATATAAATATGAAAAACGCCACAAAGATTTGTTTCTTCACTAAGCAATGCTATAGGATCATGACAAACAGTAACCAAAAAATAGATTGCAAAACTGACCTGTTTAATCTAGATGCTGAGATTATCTACAAAGCCCAGTCAGGTCAGCACATACAGGTATACTCCAGTATTTACTCATTTGCTTGAAGGAGATCCATTAAACCTCTAGGATCAGCAAGGGCAAAGATCATCAGACCACTAGGGATCAGTGGGCACAAAGGCATATTCCAGAATGCCAGTCTGTGATGAGCTTCTTGTAAAACTTAAAGATACATAAAATCACTCTTTTCTAAATTTCGTTTCTGGGGTGTGTTTGAAAGGTTTGTTGCTAGGTTATTAAACAAGGCTTTATTTTTTAATCTTTTCTGTTACTATGCTATGCAACTACCCTTTAGCAATGATTATGTTCTGGAAGGCTATAAAATTAACAAGCTGTATTAAGAACAAAGGGCAACACTTCTTCTCTAGTCCTGTCTAAAGACACACATGGCTTCTTTGTGGTCCATTAGCATAGTTAATATGAGCAAGTATATTACTACGGATTTTAATGCAGAGGACCTGTCAATCATGTAAACTCAAGGTTTGATATCTACTATGAGCTCTGTTCTTATGTTCAATATTTCAAATGAAGTGGACATACAAGAAAATATGTGGTATCATGATCTATATTTTTTTATCTAAGCATTCTCAGACTACAAAGTAACATTAAAAAACCAAATTCTCTACCTCATTCTAGAAGACAGTAGTTAGTCCCCACTTACACACGGCTTCACTTTCCTCAGTTACAGTCACCTGAGGCTAACAGTGGGCTGTAAACATTACATGGAAAATTGTGGAAGTAAACAATTCTTTTTTTTTTTTTTTTTTTGAGTTGGAGTCTCATTCTGTCGCCCAGGCTGGAGAACAGTGGCACACTCATGGCCATCCCAGTATTGACCAGCTGGGCTCCGATATCCTTCCACCTCAGCCTTCCAAGTAGCTGGAACTACAGGAGTACGCTCCCACGCAAAGCTAATCTGATTTATTGTAGAGATGAGGTCCCGTCAAGTTGTCTGGGCTGATCTGAACCTGTAGGCTCAGGCAATTCACTCACTTCAGCCTCCCAAAGTGCTGGAATTACAGGCTGAGTCACCTAGCCCAGCCAGAAGTAAACAATTCTTAAGTTTTAAATTGTGTGTCCTTCATAGTAGCATGATAAAATCTAGGGCCAGCCCACTCCATCCTGCCTGGGATGTGAGTTGTCCCTTTGGCTAGTGTATCCACCCTATGTACGGTCCACATCCATAGTCACTTAGGAGTAGCTGTTTGGGTTATTAGACTGTATTGCAGTGCTGGTGTTCAAGTCATCCTTATTTAACTTTTATCACAGTACATTATAACTGTTCTACTTATTACCGTTGTTAATCTTGTACTGTGCCTAATTTATAAACTTAACTTTATCATAGGTATGTACGTGTAGGAAAATGCATAATAGAGTTTTAGCTGTCCACTGCAGGTCTTGGAACATACCTCTCACAAAAAAGGGGGGACTACAAAAGTTAACAAAATGAAAAACTAAACACAGAAAAGGGAAGTATATGAATATAGAATAAAAAGGTTAAAACTCTGGCCAGAGGATATATCCAGTATAGGTTAAATATTTACAAGAAGGACAATAACTGTTCATAAAATAAGAAATCACCATTGTCAGCATTTATATAATGCCTGAGAGTATTTCTCAACACTTTCCACAAAAGGTACTCTATCTAACAAGAAGGAGAATCCACATGCTTAGAGTTGGGTGGTGGGGCTGAAAATTATGCCTAAAGTACTGAATTTCTTTGAAGTTTTATGCTTTACCTTAAATATCTCTGCATTTTGTATTCTCTTCCATAAAAAAAAAATCTTGTTCACTTTAATATAAAAAGTGTTCCCATACTCAACTATTCTAAATTTTGTAGTAAAACTAATGTTCTAGAAAGAGATTCATTTTATGGCTTTGCATATCCCTGACATTTTTTTTTTTAAGAGATGGAGTCTCACTCTGCTGCCCAGGCCTGAGTAGAATGGTGCAATGTGGCTCACTGTAACCTTGAACTCCTGGGCTCAAGCAATCCTCCTGCCTCAGTCTCCCAAGTAGCTGGGACAATATGCATGTACTACCACACCCA